AAAGGACAAATTTTGTAAACAGTCCCTTTTGCACATGTAATCCCAAAAAACACCCTATTTTACACTTAATTACAAAAACCAAGTTGGTTTCAGCCTCAGCGCTGAAACCAGGTCGGTTTTTGAAAAAAAACTTTCAAAACTTCACGGGACTTCAAGTCCCATGAAATTTAGCAGACAAATTGTTAAACTCGTAAACTTCACGGGACTTCAAGTCTCGTGAAGATTTTTTCAACGTTCAAACTTCACGGGACTTGAAGTCCCGTGAAGATTCTAATTTTCAAAAACTTCTAAGGTTGATTTTTCTAGCGAAAATCGACTCTCTGGAAAAATTGCCCTTGTAACTTCACGAGACTTGAAGTCCCGTGAAGTTACAGGGGCGATTTTTCCAGAGAGTCGATTCTCTGGAAAATCTACCAATTAACTCCACGAGACTTGAAGTCCAGTGGAGTGAATTTGCTCCTATATAAACACGAGCTACAGACTTTCCTTTTTCCTATTCCCCTAAAACCCGACATTCTTTCTTGTTGAATATCATATCTCCATGATAGTATTTTGATGATAACAATTTATACAAACTGTGTTATACAAATGCACTAACTTTTATATGCAGATTTCAATATCAAAATATGAACAAGTGCAAGTTGATTTCAAGGCATTATGAAGTGAAGAAGATGAAGAACATATGAGATAATGTATTTTACATTTTTTTACTTAGAATTATTGTACAAGCCTTGATCACACACACGCACACACACAATATTAGAATACACTAACACAGGCTTAGTATGTTGGTTAACTATAGAAATCCCCTATGTTAACCATTAGAGTTATAGTTAAAACTTGAGTATAAAAACTTTTTAGTTCATATTTTTTACTCTTAGTAGTCGACTAATTAGAATAGTAGTCGACTACTCTTGTATAAGACTTAAATATAAAATTCTGTCAACTTACAGTATTAGAATAGTAGTCGACTACTCTTGTATAAGACTTAAATATAAAATTCTGTCAACTTACAGTATAGTCGATTAATTTGGATAATAGTCGACTACTCAAGTATTTGACAGAAACATAAGTTTCTGTTAATTTACAGAATAGTCGACTAATTGACATTATAGTCGACTACTGAAGGCAAAATTCATTTTTCAAGTTTCTGTCAAAATACAGTATAGTCGACTAATGATCTTTGTAGTCGACCACTGAGAAATTTTCTGAATACACAGAGTCTATTTAAACTCAGTGTAGTCGACTAATCTGTATTGTAGTCGACTACAAATACAGTTTTTCCAGAATTCAAAGTTTGAATTTATGACTGTTTATAGCCGTTTTTAAACGTTTTTAAAGTTCAAAAAATTATCTTTTCAAGGGCTATAAATAGGTTATCTGTTCAGAAAAAATACAGAGACTTACATACCCATAAGTTTTGATCTTTGTGCATTTTTTGAAGTAAAAAATATTCAGATTTTGAGAAAAAAAAAGTTTCTGCAATTGCCTTTGAACATCATTCAAATACTTATTGTTTAGGCAATTTACAGAAGTTAGAATCATTCCTAAGCCACTACTACACTACACTACAAATCAAGGCTTATAGGAATTAAAATTATTGCTTCAAAAGTTCTCTCGAGTTGTGAGAGGTGTTAATCTCTTGGTTTAGAGATTGGTGTGCAAATTGGCAAGGTGTTTGTCAATTGGTGTTGCAATTTGTAGGAACTTGCAAATTAGTCATGTTTGCTTTTGATTTTGTAAGTTTATTCAAAATCATAGTGAAAACTCTCAAGCGGGATTTGCTTGGGGACTTGATGTACACCGGATTGGTGGAACCAGTATAAAACCTTGTGTTTGTGATTGTGAATTTCTAAGATTGCCATTTTTCTTTACAATTTATAATCTATTTTGCATAAAGTTTAAAAGAACACTATTCACCCCCCCTCTAGTATTCTAGTGTATCTATTTCAGATCCTATATTTGGTATCAGAGCAAGGTGAAAGATGGCATCTACAAATACATCACAATTCAAAGAAGGTCACTCTACAAATCGTCCACCAATGTTCGATGGATTGAACTACAACTACTGGAAGTGCTGAATGAAGATTTACCTTCAATCAATTGGCTACGAACTTTGGAACGTTGTGGAAACGAAATATGAGAAGCCAACAACTCCTTTTACAGAATGGACTACTTCTCAAAGAAATAATGTAAATTTGGATTCAAAAGCAATGAATGCATTATTTTGTGCACTTGACAAGAATGAGTTCAATAGGGTGTCAACGGTCACATCTGCATACGATATTTGGCATACACTTGAGGTAACTCATGAAGGTACAAATAAAGTTAAAGAATCTAAAATTTTTGTTCTTGTGCACAGATTTAAATTGTTCAAGATGAAGGAAAATGAGACTATTGGAGAAATATTCACAAGATTCACCGACATCACAAATTCTCTCATTGGTCTTGGAAAAACATATACACAAGTGGAGATGATAAGAAAAATACTTCGATCACTTACTCCACAATGGGAAAAGAAAGTTACCGCTATTGAAGAAGCTAATGATTTGTCAACTCTTACGGTTAAAAATCTTATTTGTAATCTTATGGCATATGAAGTTCAAATTAAAGATAGAAAGAATGATGAAGAAATAAAAAATAAGAAAGTTCTTGCATTTAATATTATTTCCGATAAAGAAGATTCAGATGATGATGATGAAGAAATGGGCATGTTTGCACGAAAATTTTATAAATTTATAAAACGAGGTAATTTTAAATCTAAGAGTTCAATTTCAAATAACTCTCTTTGTTTTAAGTGTAATAAACCAGGTCATATAAATAAAGATTGTCCAATGTTGAAGAATAAGAAAAAATCAAGTTATTTCAACAACTTCAATAACATTCAAAATAACAAGAAAAGAAAAGCAATGGCAGTCATTTGGGATGATAGTGATGAGTCATCTTCAGATGAAGAAATTGAAGAAAAGGAAATTGATCATATGTGTTTTATGGCACAAGATGAAGTAAGTGACAATGAAGAGCTTTTAGATGCTTTCAATGAATTATATGAAACTTTTGTGAGATTAAAGACTTCACATAATTTTATTAACGGTGAAAATAAAAGATTACTTGAAGAAATTTCTGATTTAAATTCCTCTACTTTTTCTAGTTCTCAAGTAATTGAATTGAAAGAAGAAAATTATTCTTTGCTTAAAAAAATGAATGTTTATCTAATGAGAATATTTATTTAAAATCAGAATGTAATAATTTAAAAATTCTTCTTTATTTCAACTATTGAACCTAAAA